AGAAAACAAAAATAACGACTTTATTCCACATTTTCGTCTCTACTGCGTTACTTTGGACGTGCGTTCACGACAGTACCATGACACGAGCGTGTGGCGGCGCCGGCGCTGACCGATCTGGGTCAGCGCCGCCACAAACTCACGTCATGATACTGTCGTGAACGCGCGTCCACAAGTGACGCAGTAGAGACGAAAATGTGGAATAAAGTCGTTATTTTTGTTTTCTTTGTGCAAAAAAGTATGAAGTTGTTCTTTAGCTTGTTGCTATGTGGTTGCTAGGGTTCAAGTGTTAAAGGGATACTTCACCCAAAAATGAAAATTTTATGTTTATCTGCTTACCCCCAGGGCATCCAAGATGTAGGTGACTTTGTTTCTTCAGTAGAACACAAACGAAGATTTTTAACTCAAACCATTGCAGTCTGTCAGTCATATAATGGAAGTGAATGGGAATCACGGCTTTGAGAGTCAAAAAAACATACACAAACAAAACCAAATTAAACCCTGACACTAAAATGACTGACAGACTGCAACGGTTTGAGTTAAAAATCTTCGTTTGTGTTCTACTGAAGAAACAAAGTCACCTACATCTTGGATGCCCTGGGGGTAAGCAGATAAACATCAAATTTTCCTTTAAAGGGATAGTTCACCTAAAAATGAAAATTCTGTCATCATTTACTCACCCTCAAGTTGTTTCAAACCTGTATGAATTTCTTTAAGCTGGTTCACATAAAAGATGACATTTTGAAGAATTTTGGTAACCAAACATTTGCTGGTAGCCATTGACTTCAAAATACTATAGAAGTCAGTGGCTACCAGCAGTTTGGTTACCAACATTCTTCAAAATATCATCTTTTGTGTTCAGCAGAAGAAACTCATACAGGTTTAGAACAAGTACAAGAATTTAAATTTTTGGGTGAATTATGTCTTTAATATTATTCTTATGGGTTTGTTCAAATCCCTAAGCCTAATATAAACAATAGCAATAGTGATGTTTGCCTTAGTAAGCATCAATAAGTAAAAGCAATAATAATAACAAAATCATTAATTTTAATTGACTAAGAATGCATTTATTTCCAAAAAAGTCAGAAGTTAAATCCCATGTTAAAATATAGGAGTCCAGTCCTAAAAATAATAATTGCAATGAAATCAGCTCACACTGATGGGGCCACACACTATAACAAATATGACAACAAACTTCAAACCCTGCAGTACACAAATAACAGTCACAGGCAGAAAGTGTTTACAGAAACTGATTTAGGACCGCAGTGTAACTCTACAGTGCTGAGAGGGAACAGACACAGTTTTGTATGTTTGAGAAGCATTTATCAGTCTTGTAAGGCTGACAGTGATGGAAACCTCAGCGCTTTATCAGATCAACTCAGGCAAGAAAACTCTGTGCTTTTGCTCAGTAGTTCGCTAAGTAAGTGCTGTGCAACAAACTAGTGTGATTACAACCCCAGGGTTACAGACGTTAACATGATTCTATATTTTTGATGCAAAAATATGATTTATACTGTTCTAACAGCATTAACAATCATTCAATAATCAAAAGTGACAGTATAATAAATTTTAAATTGTAATAAAATTCCACAGTATTACAATTACTGTATTCTTGATGCAGTATGTAAGGAGCATAAGAGGAAAAAACATTTAAAAAATCAAACCGACCACAATCTTATACTGTACATTTGACTTAAGTGTAAAACATTTTACTTTTCCTGAATTTCCATATATATACAGGATCTTCATCTCCTCTTTATTAAGCTAAATAGACTCTACATCAACCTCCAATGTACTAAAGCAGCCTCTCTTACCAATCACAATTCACTTCCACTTCAATCAGGGGACTCATTTCATGCCTGCCTGGTCAGTAAAAACACAACACAGGAAGCAAACTGAGGATCACACAAGAAAATGAGGACTCTGAATTCTGCATCTAAATTTGTCATTCAGCAATAACAGCAGTATTACTCAGTACACACTGATTATGCATTATGCAATGTTATCCAAAGTGACTTACAGTAAACTTACTTCAGAGATGATCTAGAACAAACTAGGGTTCAGTGTTTTGCTCAAGGGCACAATAGTGACAACGAAACCACTCATGCATCACTCTCGAACCTGTGACCTTTGGGAACCCAACCAAAATTGTAACCACTGCAGTTCGCCTATATCTGTAAGTTATATGTACAGTGACGTCAAAAAGTATTTTCAAACTTAAAAATGTGAATTTAATGCATTAGAAAAAAATACAAACAATAAACCAAAATCCAAATGATATGCAAAATGCAATAAAAATGCAATGAACTATATATATATATATATACTGTACAGTTGTGGTCAAATTTTTCCACTTTGCAGTATCTGCAAAATGTTAATTATTTTACTAAAATAAGAGGGATCATTCAAAAGGCATGTTATTTTTTATTTAGTACTGACCTGAATATGACTTTTCACATAAAAGACGTTTACATATAGTCCACAAGAGAAAATAACAGTTGCATTTATAAAAACGACCCTGTTCAAAACTTTACAAATGCTTGATTCTTCTGTGTTGTTACCTGGATGATCCATAGCTGTTTTTAATATATTTTGCTATAAAAATACAACAACATTTTTTAAGTGTGGCTAAGAGCCCAAATAGTTTTTGAGGCCACTGTGATGACAAATAATGAAAAGTTAAATACAGATTTTCAATGTATCATGTAACTAAAGCATTTCTTGGTGTGTCCCAATGAAAGGTCAAGTGGATGGTTTACTGTGCCTGTTTCTGAGCACACAGCGGCTCCTAAAACATGCAGACAGCTCCTTTATCTAGAGGGAACAGTCCCACAAAAGGGGATAACCAGGATAGGGACGGGAAGCTCTTCTCTTTATATCTGTAAAGCAGAAACACCCACCTCACCTGTGCCAAGATAGTGTTCATGTCTTTAAAAGGTTCGGTTATTTTATATGATTTAGGCATCATCAAATGTCTCAATGCCACATGCATTATTTGCAATAACGCACTGCACCTCCAGCAGATCAATCAATCAATCAATCAGTCATTAATGAATTCTTATGAACCAAAGTGTCAAAATTCAAAAACCACAGCCTAATTGCATATCATCTTGTGCTGTCTTAAATCAAGTCAAGTCACCCTTATTTATGTAGCACTTTATACAATACACATTGTTTCAAAGAAGCTTCAAAGTAATAAACAGGAAAATGACAGAAACAATGAAGCAAACTTCTTCAGATATGAGACAGATTCGAATTATACTGTAAAGCAGCTCTAAAAAGACAATGGACATATTCACCTCATGTCAGTTCAGTGTTGATTCAGATTTGGTTCAATAGTTCATCAGTAATAAAACAAGTTCAGTTCAGCCGTAAGCAGCTCTACAGAAGAAAATAGTGTCATTGAGCTTGAGTCAATTTTGAGTCAATAATTGACATCAATGACTTGATGTCAATTATCACCAAATTAGGTTCAGCTATAAAGCAGCTCTACAGAAGACAATAGTGCCATCATCAGTGTTGGGTAAATTACTTAAAAAGTAATTAATTATAGCCACTAATTACATCTTCAACAGTGTTATTGGATTACTGTACTAATTACTCTCTCTCAAAAGTTTTGCATTACTTATTACACTCTAAAAAATGCTGGGTTAAATATAACCCAGCGCTGGGTTAAAAAGGGACAAACCCAGCTATTGGGTTGTTTTGACCCAGCGGTTGGG